GAAAGCACTATTATTCTTAACACCTGCAAAACACACACACACATCCCTTCTCTAATCTCCACCAAAGGTGCCGTTGGCTGTTCCAAAGCTTTGTCGTTTGAATATCAGATTCAGCTTCCCTTCCCAGGAAAGCAGAACAAATGCAGTGGGAACTGACTGCAGGCATGCTGCCTCTAGGAGACGCAGCCCGTTACTGGCGGCCCAGGGGACGCTGGGGAAGAGAGAAAGCAGGTGAGTGTGATACCTCGCGGTAATTAGGAGCGCCAGCACTTCTTCCCCGACGCCCTCCACGTCCACCACCAGCGCCAGCTCATATTTCTGCACAGTGTTGGAGCACAAGGTCACCTGGAAAGAAAAAGGTGAAAAGCGGCTCTTCTGCAAGGCCAGCCCTCCCTCTGCTCAGGGGGGAAAAGAGCAGGGGAGGGCCACACGGATGAGTAGGGCTTCTAAGTACTTCATTATGGGATGTATGGCGTTTTACATTTTTAGTGGAACAAGTTACATTTCGGGGTCAGGGCCTGCTGAGTTTTTTCAAAGGCCAGGTTAGAAACCAAATGGCTTTTAGCACAATAGGTTTGCTCATTTCTGAGAAGACGGTATCAGAGAAGTCATATAACTGCATCGGGGGAAGAATGACCCTGAAGGATGAGCCATATCAAACAAATTTTAATTACTCAATTTAAATTGTTCTCTATGCCTCTGGGCTATATCCATTATGAAAATTCAATACACCAGTAAAACACTATAGCTAAGTCCCTCTTAGAGCAAAATAAATGAACATAACCGTGACAGTTCCAGAAACCAGCATAAGGAGTCAACTAGATAGTCTTCTTTTCAAGAAAAATCAGTATCTTGGGACGCCTGGGTGGCTCAGTCAGTTAAGCATCTGCCTTCAGCTCAGGTCATGATCCCAGGGTCCTGGGATCAAGTCCCACATTGGGCTCCCTGCTCAGTGGGGAGTCTGCTTCTCCCTCTGCCTGCTGCTCCCCCTGCTTGTGCTTGCTCTCTTTCTCTCTGACAAATAAGTAAAATCTTTAAAAAAAAAAAATCAAAATCTTCTCTCTCCCCTTACCCTCCATATTCATTATTAGAGCAGAAAACAGGAAGCTGCAAATAAAGGTCTATTCAAGGACAATATGTGCCCAGTATATTTTACCCTATGTTTTTTATTTATTATTGTGAAATTTTACATTCAGGCTGTTGAAGTCTTGTCACAATTTTTAATTGCTCAAAGATGATTTGTAGTGGAAGAGATACTTCTAAATGTGGAGAACAGCTTCTGGCATAGGTGAAAGCTTTTCTATCTATAAATTATGTATGAAGGACTAATTAAGAATTTTTTCTTGGTTGCAAAGGGAATCACTGGAAGCAAATTCTAGTCTACACAGACATGGTTGAAGTATAGTTCAGGAGCGAAAACTGAAGCTTGAAGAAAGCTTTTCTAAATATAAAGGGGAAAAGAAGATGGAGCTGTTGATTTGGAAAGCAAACTTGTCAGATTCAGAGAGAAGTAGCTGCCCCAGCATGCAGAGATGCCTGGAGTGAGGAAGCCCTGTTTATATCTCTGAGCCAAGGTCAGAAGGCAGAAGAACAAGAAGCTCTGGCAGAAGGCTGCTAGATGGATGCTATGGCTTTTAAAATCTTCCTGTGTGATGTGCGAGAGGCGAAGAGGAAAGGCAGGTAATGTGTAGGCTGAGCACTAAATACAAAATAAATTCTTTGCAACAGTGCTTCTTCCTGGGAAAGTCACAGGTAGGAACTGCTATGATCTGAATGGTTGTGCCCTCCCCACTCCCCCTGCCAACAAAATTCATATGTTGAAGTCCTAACCCCAGTGTGATGGTAATTAGGAGGTGGGGCCACTTGGGGGTGATTAGGTCATGAGGGTGGAGCCCTCATGAACAGGATTAGTGCCCTTATAAAAAAGATCCCACAGAGCTCCCCAGCTCCTCCCACCATGTGAGGACTCAGGAAGTCAGCAGTCTGCCACCTGGAAGAGGCCCCTCACCAGAACCCTACCATTCTGTCACCCTGATCTCAGACTTCAGTCTCCAAACTGTGAGAAATAAATTTCTGTTGTTTATGAGCCACCCAGTCTTGAGTATTTGTAAAAAGAGCAGCCCAAACAGACTAAAACCACAACCCTGAGAAGTTATACCAATATATGATATAAACCTCATTAGGTCCACGGAGAAGCCCTTGGAAGAGCCAAGAAGTCCCAAAAGAGAGAGACTGAGGATGAGTGGATTCATGGTGAGATATTATAAAACATTTAAAACAAATGTGGGGGATAAGACCATAGCTGAATTAAATATTCAAAGATCACAACTAAAGAGAAAATTACCAACCTTAGCTATGGAAGTCTTATTTTTTCTTTCCCAGAAAAAGATAAAATAATTTCAATTTAGTAGCCTTCAATAATGCTAGACCTAACTCTTTGGAGAAGCAAAAGTAAGTGAGGGAGGACAGTAAAACATTTCTCAGTTAGCTGTGAAATAATTCTGCTGGTGGCCATAACCAGAGCATCACACTGTGGGTCTAAATATAAACCACTGTTAGGAATACCACATCTACATTCACCATGAAGTCCAGATGTGTATTAAAAACTGGGTATCATCTATGGCACAAATCTGGACTTTTATTGGTATAAACGATTTGATTCTGAAGGAAAGTAGGCCTTAGTTATCAATGAATTCTTAAATCTTTTAATATTCATACTACCGTGGACACTATCTTTATAGAGCAGCGGTTCCACCATGAATCACTAGGATCCATTGTTCTGGTGAAGGCAATGCATCTAGATTGATGGAAATGCCCTAGAGTGGTGTCTGTTCTTTTTGCCCAATATATTTGTAGCTGGTTACTTTGGCCCCAGTAGTTTCTTGCTTTACAGGCCCACTTTTCCACGTGAATTAGAGGCACTCTCTCCCACTGACGGTGGGCATGGAAAGCATACCTTAGCTGTGGTCCTAATAACTATTTGAGAGTTTGGCTCCTTGGCCATATGTGCTGGAAGGCTGTGCACTTTACCCTGATAGCGGCAAATCCCTGGGGGCGGATGGTGCCACTGCTGGGAGTGATGGTGAATTCTTTTGGTTTCATTATGGGTATTTCATCCTTGCTCCAAGATGATCTTTTGTAGTCTGAATACTGATTGCAACTTGAGATGCTTTTATGGCCATCGCCATCCCCAGGGACACGCAGTTGGAAGGTCATGGGGACCAAGGAGGTATTATTGAGGGAACACATCAAGGTATGAGGGAAGCCTGGAAAACAAAATGTGAGGTAAGAAGTAAGAGCCCCACTATAGCCTCCTTTGAACTTCAACCTCGGCTAGCATTGGCAAACCTCTCAGATGAAATGTCTATGCAACTCACTGTTACTTGCTTAACTCTACTTCTCCCTGATATAGTCTTCAATTGTACAATCAAGGAATGCATTTCTTTTCTTCCTTTCTTTCTTAAGAATCACCTGGAATCTTGTACAAAGGAGGAGGGCTGTGATTCTGGATTTCTAAAAAGCTCTCAGATGAGACAGGTGTCAGAGACTCATGGACCACAGCTTGAATAACAAGGCTGCAGAGCATCTAATAACAATACACACTCAGAAATGTAGGTTCTTGGTCTCCATTCCTTTTTTTTCTTTTTCTTTCTTTCTTTCTTTCTTTCTTTCTTTCTTTCTTTCTTTCTTTCTTTCTTTTCTTTCTTTCTTTCTTTCTTTCTTTCTCTTTCTCTCTTTCTTTCTCTCTCTCTTTCTTTCTTCCTTCCTTCCTTCAATGAATACTTTTATACACTTACTATGTAGCAACAATAGACATAAAACCATCCCTTGATGTCCATCCAGGATCCTCTCAAGAAGCAGCCTCTAGTATCTGCTTGGTGAATAGTCCTCCAACAGTATATTTTGCATTTAATTTTTTGCATAGAGTACAGATTTTTTTAAGAAATTGAATCCTCTTTGCTCTTTTTATTTGCCAATGTGTGAAAGGAGAAGCCTGTGTGGTTTTCCCTGCTGTGTGACTTAGAGCCTGCCAAGACATGATATAACTCATCCTGGACCTGTCTGAGGCTCACACACTCAGGGTCGATGACACAAAATCGAATAATAGCCTCTCCTGAGAGAGACTTTACAATCTCCTTTGGAGACAGCCAGAGACCACTGCACCGGCTTTTATCTCCCTTAGGCAAACCTATTTTGTCATGTTAAATCTAGCCTTCCTACGTTCAGTTCGGGGAGACTCCTAGTCCTTTTCTAAGAGATACAGATCCTCCTTGCCTGGCAAGCAATAAACTGAACTCTGATTTTGGATTCCCGAGGTGCCCACTGTATCTCCTACCACTTTCAGAACAAGAGGAGAACAAATATGCATATTTCTACTAGAGGCAAACATTACTCTTTCTACCTTGAACCCTACTGCGATAAAACACAATTGATCTCAGGAGTAGTTACTACATCACTGCAGGGGGTATTTTGACTTGATCTATTTCTCGAGATCCCCATGACTGAGCCTTTGTCTACACATTAGGGCTGCTGGAGGAAACACGTTTATATCTCCTTTGTGACACCACCTGCCAATCTACTTGGAAGAGATCTATTACGGAAAAAGAATTGCCTGATTAAGTGTACCTGAAGGATTTTCTTGGAAATCCCAGAGGAACTGCTCGAAAGTCAGTTTCACAATCATGTATTGCTGCATCCAACTTTTCTGAACTTTCCCAGCAAGGACTCCTGAAACTATAGATCACTCACCCTTATTTCACCTGACCATTTATGAAATAAACACTCTTAGAATGTAAGGTGTACTCTGGAAGTGGTTCGTATAAGGATTCACACGGGTCCTTCCAAACCATTGCTCAGACTATTTCCCTGAAGCTAGAAGTTTTTCCAAGAATAAAGCCAGTTGTAAGCTCCTAGCTAGAACAATTCCTTTCACAACTACCTGTAAACCCCATATTGCCTGTTAAGAAGCCTAAAGAAGGGAATATTATTTGATTAAAGACTGCATGGTCATTACTAATAAAAGTGTTACTTCTAAGCTTCTGCTTGCATCAAATCCTAACACTATTGGGTTTAGGCTTTCCTCATGCTTTCTATGATTTTTTTTCCGCTAACCTTTGTAAGATCTTTCTATAATCATTACAATTACGATTTTAAGGGACAGTACAATTAATTTACACCCCACTTAACACCCTCCTAAAGTCAATTTAAATATTTCTTCTCGAGTGATATATGACCAGCTCATACCTGGGCCATGGAAGACAACTACCATGCTGCCTTTTTTTTTTTTTTTTTAATCCCTATATTTATCCCAGCAGCTTTGCCCTCAAACCCTAATTTCTCTGACCAAATTATCCAATGGTCAGGTCCACTGAATACCTGCAGCCTTCTAAATTCCTTATTCTCATTCAACATATTCTTGTAGCTCCTGAAAAATAGTGAGTGTGCAGATACTGACCCTGCCCCTTTGGCTCTATCACCTGGCGTATCAGTCGTTACTTGGTCCATTGTACTCTTTGATGAATCTGAGGATTTATCAAAGCTTCACTGTTTCTTCAGGGACAATCACCACCCAAATTCTATAATCTGACTCTCTCATGCTACTGTAGCTCCAGTCAATCTAATTAATTATTATATATGTCATCCAACATCCAATCTTACCATCAAAATATTTATAACCATACTTTAAACATTTCAGATATTAACCAATAGTACAATACTATTACCTCTCATCTACTTCAGTGATTTATAATAATCTAACACCACCAATCCCAACAGGCCCTGATGCCAAATCTAGAATCTTCATCTCTAAGCAAATAAGGCCCTCTAACACTAACCTATAACAGACACCTCTTCAAGAATTCGCCTTACTGCCAATATGGGGACAATATTACCAACTTCAGTTAGCTCAATGTACTCCCCAACACTACGAGTCTCTGCAAACCTTGTTTAACTCCATACAATATGCCAGTCATCCCAAAATAAATTCCTGAAAATAAATTCCAGAAAATTCCTCCAATCCCTGGCTTATTCCTGTAACAGTTAATTTTTCTTGCATCTGGAACTATATGCACCCTTATTGGTCTTTCATCCCTGAGCCAATAACATGTTTACTTTTGTCTGACTCATCAAAGCCCTAATTGCACATGTGAGATAGTAATTAGGAAGTTTCCAATAAAAAACTCTTCCATGGATGATGTTTCTTTGTGACAGGAGGCCAAACCTCCTGGAGAAATAAATAATGACACTTTGGATAAGAGTCATGAGAGAACTCTAGTTCCAACTTTGGGACTTAAAAGGATTATCATAAAATAATTTTGAAATTGTATCAAAAAATTGTCTCTGACTTTGGATTTTTACAGTGCAGAATCCAGAAGAACAGCAAGTAGCTTGAATTAACTGACCCAACTGGTTTTGAAAATGAAATAGCCCTAGATTTCCTGTTGGCAAGCAAAAAGGTATTAACCTTTCAGCAGTGAACAACAGGGCAGATTCTAGACAATGAATCGGTATGAGATTTCTTGGAGTGATTGAGGTGCTTATTTAGATTCTGCTTTCTCCCTCCAGGGCAATATGATATAGGGCACATTTTCCAAATATTCTGTGTTGGAGTTCATATTTAAATGCCTGTGGAAGGATGCATCAGTCACCCAGACCTCTCTGTGGACTCAGTTGAGCCGTTTGGAGGATAACTGCATAGATCTTTGGGTAAGTAATTCACCTCTTATTGTGGATCAGTCACAGTAACCCTGGAGAGTATGTCTGTCTTAGTCGGCCATCAGACAATTTTCAAGTTGTAGGTCACTTTTACTTTCCTTCAAAAACTCTATCACTTAAACTTGCCCTACAAATTTATACAAATTTCTCCAGCCATTTTCATATTCTATGGTAATAAAGAGATATTCAACTCCATTTATATAAATTTTCCTATATGTTAGGAAATGTTAAATGTTAAAGCAACTGATAAAGGCACTATGAATCAGCTTTTTGTAAAGAAGAGATATTTTTGTAAAGAAAACTTTTCCCCAAGTAGATGGGCCTACTTGAAGCAAAAGAACTGAAAGTCAAAATGGAGGAAACAAAGAAAAATGGAAAGGATTGTGCACTATGGATTCAGAGTAGGGTTTCTCAAATTATTATCTAAATTATTTTGAAATTTCTAAATTAAATTATCACCTCCTCAAAGAACCACTGTGATGATGAATTAATTTTCAATGAAATCAATTAATTAAATGTGATTTAAATTAGATTAATTTCTCCCTAATGAGAAAAATTAAATACTAAGGAATAAGATTCTGTTGGGTAGGGCTGAATTTTGGAGGACCACAAACATTGATTAGATCTATGCTTTTTTTTTTTTCTAACCCCAAACAAACAATTTTTGCCCCTTTGGGGCAACATTACCCCTGTTCACAGTACATGACTTAGACAGATCTCATTTGAAATACTCATTCTACTACTGCTGTGTGACCATGGGAAGTTATTTAACTGTTCGAATGCTCAGTTCTTCCAGCTCCAAAATGGGAATCCTAAATAGCATCTACTCAAAGGATTGCTAAAAGGTTTAAATGTAGTACTGCATGTAATTCACTTAGCAGTGATTGGAATATAAGAACGAACCAATAAATGGAAACTTTTACTGCTAATGCCGTCATTTTTATTATTAGAAATGCTGAGACAGGAGGAAACGACTCAGGGAAGTAACTGAGCAAGAAGACAACACCAAAATATAGATGTCTTCCATTTGGAGTGATAGAACACCTGAGTCAAACCACCACTGAATTCACTTGAAACTTGAGAGCATCTCTGTGAACAGGATGCTGTGTAGCCAGACTGGAGAATCAGAATCTGCATATAAATAGAGTGTTCAGGTGGGCGCCTGAGTGGTGCAGTCAGTTGAGCATCTAACTCTTGCTTTCGGCTCAGGTCATGATCTCAGGGTTGTGAGATCGAGCCTGGCACTGGGCTCCCTGCTCAGTGTGGAGTCTGCTTGAGATTCTCTCCCTCTCCCTCTGCCCTCCCCCACTTGTGCTCTCTCTCTAGAATAAAAAATTAAATCTGATTAGATAGATAGATAGATAGATAGATAGATAGATAGATAGACAGACAGACAGGGCTTTCAGAACATTCAGATAGGAGTGTGAACCCTAAGGCTTTCCATTTTTCTACTGCTGGAAAAGCTGGGACGACCACAGGCTTACAGCTCTTAGTGCCCAGGACAGGGTTATAACTTCCACATATAAACTAGGAAATGACACCAAAATGAACTGCTGCAGAGGAAAGAGAGAACATTTCTAGACCCTTTTAGCTATTACCCATAAAAAAATGGTAAGAGAGGTTCTTTGTAAACCTTCCTCCTTCCATGTTGAGAGAAAAGTAATTCCATTCAATTTCTAACTTCAAATGGAAAAATACTCACCAAAGGAAACATCACCAAAGTGCAGAGCAGGAACATTAAAATGGAAGGTAGGTCCAATGACACAGCCTCTGGAAATAGGAATACAAATTGGGGGAGTGGATAAAGAATCCAGTGAATTCAGAGTAACAATCAGGAACTAGGGAGACAATAAGTCCTAAAAACCATCAACTGGCATTAAGTCAGTAGGCAGTCATGGCCGAGTGGTTAAGGCGATGGACTTGAAAGTGGCATTAAGTCAAGTATAGAACCTAGCACTTAAAGAAACTACAAGAAGATGGTCTATCACAGTGGTTCTTAGAGTTCTTTTTCAAGACTTGAACCACTGGATTTTAGCAAATGATGCTGTAGTTAACTTATCACCAAATTCCTACCAATGAATGAAGCAGAGCAGACAAATCACCAAACCAACAGCACAGAATATTAATGTGGATAAATACCTATCATAGCTTTATCATGCTCTATCCCTCACTCCCTGCCCTAAGCAGCCACTAATCTATTCCCATTTCTCCTTTTGGTTCTGTCAGCTTGTCATTCACATATCTGGGGGCTCTAATGTTAGGTGCATATATGTTTATAATTGTTATATTTCCTTAATGGCTTAACTCTTGTCATTGCAAAATGTCCCTCTTTGTCTCAAGTAACACGTTTTATTTTAAGTCTATTTTGTCTGATATTAGTACAGCTTTCTTTTGGTTACTGTTTGCCTAGTGTATCCTTTCCCATCCCTTTTAGTTTCAACTTATTCATATTTTTGGATCTAAAAGAGCATATAGTCGTATTGTGTTTTGTGGGTTTTTTAAAAAAATCCATTCTGCCGATCTCTGCCTTTAATTTAAGTGTTAAATATATTTACATTTAATGTAATTACTGATAAAGTAGGATTCATGTCTTACACTTTACTCCTTGTTTTTTATGTCTTAATGCCTTTTCATTCCTCTTTTTCTCCATTATTGCCTTCCTTTATGTTAAATGGATATTTTCTTAGTGTAGCCTATTAATTCCCTTATCATTTCTTTTACCATATTTTTTAGTTAGTTTGGGGAATATTTGAGAGAATGGGCAATCACATCCTGAATTTGGAAAAATAATTCACAGAGTCAAAGGTTAAGACAGTAGGAGTCACGCAACAGGAATGTCCAACAAACTCAAATTCGCCAGTCACTGTACCTGATATACAACCTTGCATGTAGGAGGTGCTCAAGAAAAGTTTAAGTGAATATCCAAAATACACATTTATTCCTAATAGAGTAGCAATGTGTATGTATGTGTGTCAATAAATGCAGTATTAATTATTAGGCTGCACTTAATTAGGGAGTGGCCACATGAAATTAGGATGGGCTTTCTTATTCAACCTGAAGGACAATTAGCCTGTCTTGGCCAGTATTTTCCTCTTTCCTACATGAAAAGTAAACTTATGGTCTTTTAATACCCTGTACATTCTTACCCTTAGATAGGGTGATTATTATTTTTATCTTAAATATTTATAAGAGCAGAGCTTTAAGGTTTTGTCTTCCCCATTTTGGATGGAGGCCCATCAATGAAGCTGGATGTTGTGGAGGATACTCATGATTCTGAGCAATACCTCTTGAAGTCAGGAAGCCGGAAAACCTTATTCAGCTGGGGCTTTGAAGAGCTGATCTCCTGGAGTTTACCGAGAACCCTCAAGGATCAGACAATCTCTGAAAGGGAGATGGAGGTTGCATTTGCAGGTTTGCTCTTCCTGCTTCTCCAGAGAACCACCTCCATCGTTTGTCACGAGATGTGAATTGTTATTGAGGTGGGAGGTGAACTAGAGCTCACATAATGTGAAAAAGTACTCCTGTCTTCCTCATGTTCTGTTTATCACTGACAGATGTCACCCGTGGGCCAGGATGAGCATGGTGCATCTTCTTGAAGAGTCAGTGTTACTCAAATATTTAGAAAGCAACACTGATTTTTTCTATTATCACAACCACAGATGTGTTGTGGAAGAAAATATAAATGCCTTCTGAATGTTTCAGATAAGTCTTAAGACTTAAAAAGAAGTATAGGATTATGGCAGTCTGTCTCAGCCATGCCACAGAAGCCCTAAGACACATTCATTCACTCTCCTTATTTGTTAGAGGCTGTGTTCGTTTGCTAGGGCTGTCATAACTGAGCACCACAGACTGAGTGGCTTAAATAACAGAAATTTATTTCCTCACAGCTCTATGGGCTGGAAGTCCAAAATCAATGTGTCAGCAGGGTTGGTTTCTTCTGAGGGACTCCCTCCTAGGTTGTAGATGGCTATCTTCTCTTTATGTCTTTACAGGGTGTTTTCCTATCTGCGTGCTTGTTCTTATAAGGACACCAGTCACATTGTATTAAGGCCCACCCATATGACCTCATTACTTCCTTAAACATCCCATCTCTAAGTGCAGTCCCATTCTTAACTGGGTATTAGAATTTCAATGTATAATTTGGGAGGACACAATTCACTCCATAACTATCATGAGACCAAAAATTTTCCTAGGATTCTTCAGGCCACAGTGTCTATGTTATCTCCAGACCCCGAGGGAGACCTTAGCTGTAGATGGAAGGAGGTCCTGCTAGCAGTAACCATAATAAGAGAGACTGCCATGGTAATTAACAACCTGGTGCTGTGAAAATCCAAAGAGGATCTGCGATGTGTTCTGAAGACATGATCTCGCTAAGCACCAGGAACCAAAGTTGTAGATCTGCCCAATGGGTTGGTCATAGAAAACTTCTTTTTAAAACCTGAGGACAAACTCTGCTATTAATGACTTTCAATTATCACAAACAGCTGGAGAAGCCATCAAAGGACTTCTAGCACAAAAGCTGCAAATGTCTAGCCTAGGATGACTGACGCTCTAAGTAGACTCTTTTATGATACCTGGAGGTATTATAGGTATGAGCATTTAAAAATTTTACTTAAAACAAAAATGAAAGATGAAAGTTTAGAGAAACTGGGATAAGAGTTAAAGCCAAGTCCAGAAGATGATTTTATCTAGGTGTTACTGTAATGATTTATTTTCCCTAAATATCCTAAAACAGAGAGTATAACTAGGAACTAGTTTAATGTTTTAAGTCCCTATTTTATAAAGCTATAGCTTGTAGAAAAACTAGATCCCCAAAAAGCATCTGTGTCCACATTATAATAGTAAGTTACACGTGCTCAGTAGGTAAATGCTGGTGGAAATTTAAAACACTCCATTATTTTGATGTATTCCTACTAACAAAGACAGTTATGGACATCCAAGACACGATCTGGTTTTGAAGTTTAAGAAAGCAGTAGATAAAAGCTTCGGTTAGCTTCCACATTAGTTATAGATAATATCTTACCTAATGGTCAATTTCACAGGCTCAGGGGACCCATTGACATTGACCAGGAACACTTCTTCAAAGTGCCCCAAAATGGCAGAACTGAAAGAGATCTGGACCGCCTGGACTCCATTTGGTTCGATGATGCCTTCCCTGGGGCTGAAAACAAAGCAGGCCCCCAAAGCCGAAGTTGGAGGGATCACGTTGAAGAGGGCATCAATGCTGCCTTTGTTGGATAGTATTGCCTATATCAATAAAAAGCCAAGAGTGCAAAGATAGAGCATGAACATCTGATTTATTTTCACATAAGCACGTGGCTGTACTGTTTAATACCAACACATAGAGAGCTGCAGGAATTAAAGCCAGAGAAAAACTCCAGGGGAGAAATGAACAGTCTTCTGCCTTGAGGGTTTGAACATAAGAAACCCAATGCAGAAGTAATTTTGTGTTTTTAGTATCCTCTTTGGAACAGAGTTGTCACATGTACTATAGTCATGTTATAAATACTGATTGTAATTACATCTACTGAAAAGGAGCCTTAAAATGCCTTTTCTGATACTCTGTAGGGTAACTGAGGGAAAGTAGGTATTTATCTTATATGCATGAGAAGGTTGAGAACAAGTGACATACTGAAAAATAAGAAGTCAGAATAGAGGAGCAAGAACTACCTAAGCCTATGTTTATAGTGTAGCCTGGAGAATGTGAACGAGACATCACTGTGGATTCCAGATGACAAGGATTCTCTTTGTTGTGCTATTAGATTTCATTCTATCGGGATACTGTCACCTCAAACTATTGCATGGATACAACTCTATTGCTTGGGGATGCTTGTGTAAGCAACTGTTTTACTATAGCAAAGTTTTATTCCTATACACCATAGGCCCATATTTGCTTGCACAGCAGGTATGTGTATGTAAAAAGCTCATGCCTGGCATTCAGAGTTGTCCACACCTGGCTCAATCCATCGCTCCTGCTCCCACCTCCCGTGGTGCCTGTCGGATGAGCCTGTGCTTTAACCAAGCAGCTCTGTTCCTGGGCTTCTAAGACAGTCTCTATTCCTTGCCAGTGCTTACACCTGAACAGGTGGACAGCACGTTCTTCTATTTACATACTGCCTTTGACCTGCACTCAAAGCACCGAAGAGAAAGAGCACAGGAGATCAGGAAGAAATGTACAGAAAGGTATGGGGCCAATGTCAGGAACCTAGAAGAAGCCAAGGGAAGAGAATTTCCAGAAGGGGTTGAATGTGGACAGAGCTGATGGGGAATAAACTCTAAGAAAATGTTACAGATTTTTTTTTTAAAGATTTTATTCATTTATTCGACAGAGAGAGACACAGTGAGAGAAGGAACACAAGCAGGGGGAGTGGGAGAGGGAGAAGCAGGCCTCCCGCCGAGCAGGGAGCCCGATGTGGGGCTCGATCCCAGGACCC